ATATATATTATCAAATTAAATTAAATACTGTATAAGTAAACACAAAAAAATAAATAAAAACATAAAAAATTGGAAAAGAGCTTTTCTGGTTACATAACTTCATTTGATTGTTGTTTATGTTAAAAATAATAACATTAAACTGTTTTTTTCTCTTTGGCTGCTGTTTAAATAAGGTCGACATGGAGAATGTTGAATATAAAAAGATTAGGTAATTATTATTTTATGCAGGATTACCTTCCAAACACAACTGGAACTCGAACCAGCTGCCCCAGGAGAAGGTGCTGACCACTAAGCCACCAGAGCCAAATATACTGAAAACAGTAAAATATTTAAAACTTTAAGGCTAAAACAAACAAACACACACAAAAAAACTTGTTTATGAAAGCTCTGACAATTCCATCCATCCATCCATTTTCTTTACCCGCTTCTTCCATTTTGGGTCACGGGGGTCGCTGGTGCCCATGTCCAGCAATCACTGTGCGAGGGGCGGGGTACACCCTGGACAGGTCTCCAGTCCATCACAGGGACACATAGAGACAAACGAGACAAACAACCATTCACTCTCTCACTCACACATAAGGTGACAATTTAGAGTTACCAATCAGCCTAACATGCATGTTTTTGATCTGTGGGAGGAAACCGGAGCACCCGGAGAAAACCCACGCATGCATGAAGAGAACATGCAAACTCCACCCAGAAAGACCCCTGGACCGGGGTTTGAACCAGGGACCTGCTCGCTGAGAGGCAGCAGCTCTACCAGCTGCACCACCGTGCTGCCTATTTTACATACAGTATCTATCTATCTATCTATCTATCTATCTATCTATCTATCTATCTATATATCTATCTATCTATCTATTTCCCCGTTGGCTACTCCCTTCTTCAGGGGTTGCCAGAGTGAGCTAACCTGTATGAGGACTTGGCGATTGATGCACTTCCTGTTGCTACCACAGCCCTCTGTGCAGAGCAGAGAGCTGTCATCTAGTGTGCCTGGGGGAGCAGGTGGTGGGGGTTAAGGGCCTTGCTCAGGGGCCCAGAGTGGGGCAAATGAGGGTGGAGTCAGATGTGGTTGTTTCACTTTTCCCACCCACATTTTAATGATGTTGGTCAGGGGGGATGAAATCGGCGACCTTCCGATCACAGGCTCACCTTCTCTAACCTCTGTGATACCACTCCTCCATAAATTATAAATTTAATAAAACTAAAACCATGACACAAAACATAAGTTTTTCTTTTCTACACATCAAGTGGAACAGGTCTGACCCTCAGCCCGTTGTGTATCTATAAAAATCCAACTTCAGATGAAAAACATGTTCCTGCCCTCACCTGTGGTCAGGAACTCTGAATAGACTGAAGGAACCAGATCCTGGACCCAGGAGGTCTAAATGAGTCCTCTCTGCAGGGTAGCTGGACTGTCCCTCAGAGATCAGTTCTCCAGGAGACTCGGAGTAGAACCGCTGCTCCTCCATATCCAGAGGAGACAGTTCAGGTGGATCAGACATTTGGGGAAGGATGGACTCTGGACGTCTCTCTAGTGAGGAGTTCTGGACACGTTGAACTGGGAGGAATCCCGGGGACGACCCAGGACATGCTGGGGGGACTACGTCTCTCAGCTGATCTGAGGTAGGGGCGGACTGGGAAAATAATCCACGCTGGGAATTTGATACCATCCTCAAATCACATAAAATGAAATTATGTTGCCCTGCATCTTGCTATGCATAAACTCTTTTAAACTCACAAAGATTAAGACAATCAATCATAGTTTCATACAGCAAACGAGAGGTACACAGGTGGTGCACTACAGATGTGTCGGTTATTTTTAATCACATTAAACACATTTTTAATTTAAACAAATTTTTACTCACATTTGTAAAAAAACAAACAAACAAACAAAAAAACCCTTCATAAGAACCACAAAAAAGATTAAATCATTTCATCTGGACCAGTTTCTTTAAGGGAGAAATGTTTCGTCTTCCATCCAGAAGACTTCATCAGTCTGTGGCCTGCCAACCAAATCTGTCCTTTTTTTTTTTATAAGAACCAGTTTTCACCACTACTACCAGTACACAAGCAGGCAGCGCAGACGATCACTACTCAGCCTCTTTGTCCAATTCCATTAGAACCTCTTTCTCTGTTGCCATCAAAAGAAATGCTTCAAGGTTCTCTTGACTGAGAGAGGTTCTTAGGTGGTTCTTCACCAACTTCAGGGTGGAGAAGGTGCTCTCACAGGCAACCTGAGTGATGGATAGTGTGAGGAGGAACTTGTAGCTCAAACCAATGAAATGATATGCACCAGTGTGCAGACTGTATTGTGAAAGGAGAATATAACAACATACTGGGCAGTTTTTACACGTGGAACAACTTCTCAACAGCTCCACACTTTCATCAGTGTCCTCCATGCATTTGTCTGTTTCATCGCTAGAAGCAGTGGTCCTGATGTTGTAGTTATCCAATGCTGACTGTTTTAATCTGTGCACAGCTGATCAGTTCAGCCTGTAATCTATCAACACTGGCACATGAATCAATTTCCAGCAAGCATTTGCTGAGCTCTGTGTCTGGAAGGCCTTTCTCCCTGATATCTGGGAAATGTCCTGATGACCTGATGATGCTGCTCTTTGGTCCAGCACAGAAGAACATCATCAGGCCAGGACTCTGGCTACACTCATCTCCAGGTCAGAGGTCACTCGTTCAGGGATGAAGATGTTCACATCCTGGACAGAGAGGAACAATGGTTTGAGAGAGGAGTGAAGGAGGCCATCTTTTTGAAGAGAACCTGTCCATCATTAAAGAGACGCAGAGGTCTCCGTGTTCAACTGTCCCCCTCTTACAATGCTGTTATTGCTAGTATCACTCAGCCCTCTGTGAATAGCAAGCGGCCATCAGGGTGCTAACGAGCCATCGTTAGGCTGATGGTCCTCCATTATGTGAACAGCTAGTTCCGGACGTCAACAACAAACTGGTTGATCCACTATGAGAAGGTGCTTATAAGACTGAGTTTGTTGCAGCTCCTCAGACAAAGTCTTTTAGATTAAAGATGAAACGTTTCAACAGGTTTTTTTTTCCAGACGCACCATCACTCACGCTGCAGTTCAGAGCAACACTCCTGAGATTCAGCAGCGTCCTGGAGACCATCCCAACAGGGTCTGGCTCTCCAGTCCGAACTAGTGGAACTCCTGATGAAAGACATCATTTCCAGGGTTCCCCATGGGCAAGAAAATGTGGATTTTACTCCCAATACTTCCAGGTGCTGAAAAAGACAGTCGGGATGAGCCATGTTCTGGACCTGTGTATTTGAAATAAACCTGGTCATCATAGCATCCTTTTATCACAACTGGAACATATTGTTGGTCTTAAAGGCTCAGTTTCAACATGGTTCAAGCCCTTTTCCGTTTCCATGGGGAATACTCTTCTTAATTGGCACCTGTTCATTGTGGTGTACCTCAAGGGTCCATTTTGGGTCCTCTTTTGTTCTGTTTATAAATGCTGCATTTGGAATGCATTTTTAGAAACACATTTATTTTCATTGCTACGCTGATGAGATCCAAATATATATTTTTGCTTTAAATCAATGTCTCTGTCCCTGCAGCCTTTGTTGTTTAAAGGATGTTAAAGACTGTCTGGCCTTGAATGAAACCAAAACTGAAGTTGTTTTATTTGGAAATCAGACTCCTGAAATTCTTGGTTCTCTTGCTCCTCATTGTTCGTCAAGAATCTTGGGTTGTTTTTAGACAGCTCTTTTAAATTTAAGAAGCAAATGTCCTCAGTTGTCAAAACCAGTTAGGCTACGTCTAATAGCCAAAGCAAAACCTTAGTCCTCCCAGTGGTGTAGTCTACGCGATACGTGGGTATATGGAGAATTAAAACTCCAGTAGTGGGCTAGGTCTACTGTAACTTTAAACAGTTGTAGGGTCAAGAGACAAACATGTAGCATCAACACAGTATGAACATTCAGGAATTGTTTCTATAAGAACATTATCAAATATTTTAAGTGAACAGTAAGATCGCTCCTCCCATGACCAAATGTAAGCTAACCTTGGACAAACAAAGATAGCTATAATGTGGAGGTAGTGAAGCTCACAGTGTTACCTGAGGCCTTTAGTGAGGCATTTCTGCATTATCAGCTAACGTTAAGGCAAAGAAGATGGGCAAAAGAAAAAATCTAAGCTACTAATAACTTCAAATAGTTACTGCAGTCGATGTTTTCATGCCACAGAGCGACACGGGGCAAGAATTCAAAGAAATTCAGTATGTAAGTGTAAATTTTACATTACACAACTTATTAAACACTTTGTACAAAATCAGTTCAGTGTTAACTGATCATAAACAAAGACTAAACTTATACAACCACAAGCTGCTACACAAAAAACACACAAAACAAAACACAATTAGCATTAACCTTTAATTTAGCCATTAATTAATGTAATTATGACAAATAATGGAGGATTTACCTGCAGTTACCTTCATACAGACCAACATGTGGTACTTCCTGACTGTAGGGTCTTGAACACTGGTGTTCCACAGGGTTGCGTGCTATCGCCTCTTTTATTCTCTATATACACAAATGAGTTGCAACACAGCAGTAAAGATTTCACATTAATTAAATATGCTGATGACATTGCCCTATTTGCTGGACTGAAAGACACCAACAGTCCCTCCTACACCCAGCTCATAGATCAGCTCTCTGCCTGGTTTGATGACAGTTTCCTGGCTCTTAATGTCAGATAGTGTTATCAACACAAACTCGCTGGGGTCTTCCTCTTAAAAAATTGCTAATCCACAACACAAGATGGCTGCTGACATTAGATCACATAGGCGCTTTAAAAGTATATGTGGCTGAACCGTATTAAAAGCTGATGAAAAGTCCATGAATAATATGCGAACATATGTCTTTGGGTTGTCTAAGTGATTATGGACCTTGTTGAGGAGGGAGAGGGCGGCATCCTCCACCCCTCGGTTAGTCCTATAGGCAAACTGCAAAAGGTCCATATGCTCAGCTGTAACAGACATGAGTTCCCTGCTCACTAAGCGCTCCATACATTTGCATAATACAGATGTGAGGGCAGTTGTTCTGAAGTCATTCAGTGACTTTGCATGTGTTATTTTGGGCACTGGGACAATAGTTGACACTTTCCATGCTTGTGGGAAAAAGATTGTGTTAAGGAACAACTCAAATATCTGTTTGAACACAGGACCCAGCTTTGCAGCACATTCTTTTAATACTTTTCCTTTAATCCCATCTGGCCCAGCTGCTTTATGAGGATTGATGTTCTGAAAAATTGAAATTACCCAAAATTACATGTCATATTCCCCATCTATTCATTTTCACTAATTGACTATATATATATTAAACAACAAATATGTTCTTAATCTCAACGAGACTTTACCTGGTAAAATAAAGGTTAAATAAAATAATATAATACAAGGATTTTAATGATCAGATAATTTATTAGTGGAGTTTATGAAGGGTAAACAAAATCTGTATTCCTGGACATTTCAACATTAAACTGTTTTATTCCAGATCCTATTTGTTAACCATATTCTAAAATTTGCAATATCCTTTGTAAAAACTTTAAACAGTTGTTCTATTAAGTTTTGGTCCATTTAACTAAGTTAGCTGTGCTGACTGCAGAGTTTTCACCAGAGTGTTTCTGTCTTATTCATCAAAGTTCAGTCAGGTCCTCTGGACAGTTTCTGTCCAGAGGACCTGACTGAACTTTGATGGATTTTTCTATCTGGATTATTGAGCATGAATCAGGATGTTTCTGTTTTCCATTACAAACAAAAATTAATTTACTGCACTTTGCTGCATCAGCGCCAGTGCTTTTCTCTTTTTCATCCTCTCACTGTCAAGAGTTTCTGACGGAGCAGGGCAGGAGTGAACCTGATAATGCAGGGAAAGTTAGGAATCCAAGATTTACAAAAATAAATGTTCTTTAATAACAACAACAACAACAACAACAACAACAACAACAACAACAACAACAATAATAATAATAATAATAATAATAATAATAGGAGGAGCAGGTCCCTGGCTCAAACCCCGGTCCAGGAGCCTTTCTGTGTGGAGTTTGCATGTTCTCTCCGTGCATGCGTGGGTTTTCTCCGGGTGCTCCGGTTTCCTCCCACAGACCAAAAACATGCATGTTAGGCTGATTGGTAACTCTAAATTGTCCCTAGGTGTGAGTGAGAGTGTGAATGGTTGTCTCGTTTGTCTCTATGTGTCCCTGTGATGGACTTGCGACCTGTCCAGGGTGTACCCCGCCCCTCGCAGTGATTGCTGGACATGGGCACCAGCGACCCCCATGACCCAAAATGGAATAAGCGGGTAAAGATAATGGATGGATGGATGGATAATAATAATAATAATAATAAAAAACCAAAAAGGCTGATGTGGCAGCAACTTATAAAAAACAGGGAATCAGAACAGGCTGGCAGGACAGAACAGGACAATACCCAACGACAACGCGACAAAGGACAAGACTCACAGACAGACTTATATACACAGACATGACAGGACATAATTACAAACAGCTGGGACCAGACAATGGAGAAATAAATAAGATAAAGTGCTGTCCGTCTGGGTCCATGATGGATTCTGTACGTTTGTCTTAAAGCTTGTATGATCCATCCTACAAACTTTAAGACTCAAACCGGACAAACGTACAGACATGCGCGCTCCGCGTGCGCACATATAACCCTCCCGCACTCTGAGGACACTTGAGTCCACCAGAAGAGGTGTCTGTGGAGACGTCTGGACCTCCCTGATCCAGATGTTGCTCTTTCAACTTAAAATGGGACAAAAATTCCTTTTGTAGTTTCCCAGACAGAGTAGGTTCATTATGGCTGTGACTCTGGAGAAAAGGAGCTCCTGAGTTTAAATCTAAACAAATCTTCTGCCCCTAACACTAAATGTATGGATTAGACTGAAGCCAACAGCCAGATTAACAAAAAACACTTATTTTAAATAAAAGTTTTAAAAGCTTTTAACTGAACATCGTTTTAAAGAACACAGAAACAGTTTGGTCTCTTTGTGCTTTATTGCCTTTTTCAGAAAGAAACAGGTGCAAACAGTGAAGCGGTTCAAACTGAAATGTTTATTTCATTTCCTGCAGATTACCCCCCCATCCTGACCCCCACCAGGTGACCTGAAGCTCTAAGGCACACAAACCTCATCTGTTCCTGTCTCCAGAACAGCTGATGAACAGAGCTCTTCATCAAAACGTACACATCCTCAGCGTGACTCTTGGACAGTCTGTTTTTAAAGTGCCGCCTTTAAACGTTGAAATCATTCAGTTTATTTACAGAGAGCAGCACATTAAACTCATACAAAGCAGAAAAATGTTGGCTTGGTTTAAACTTGTTGTTGGTAAATAAAGGAGCATTCTGGGAAGTTTTATTTGAATAAGTGATAAAGGTGCAGATTGATTTTTGTCTGAAGTGATCTGATCCCTGCAGGATCACTTACAGGAACAAAACAAAGTGCTTTGAATCTGCACAGGTACAAAAAACAAAAAAACATTATTAAAAGAAAGTGCTACCAAGAACCCAGCTGTGCTCTGATTGGTCAGCTGCAGCAAAAAGCTCCGCCCACCATCAGCTTTCCTGAGTTTTCATTGGACATAACATTTTTAAACAGCCCTGAGAGTAAAGCCTTCAAACTCCTGATTTGTCCTGAAGTTTATGATGATTTTTAATGAATTATTCTGAAAGGAACTGATCCGTAGAAAGACTCAAGTCGCAGCATTATATTTGTGCTTTTATTTATTACCTTTTTCTGTTGCTGTCAGTAAACATGACTGCTCCTGATAAAGCCTAAAACTCACACTAAATGTTCTTTGGTAGCATTTCTTAAACTCTCCTGTAACTTTACTGCCCTCTAGTGTTCATCAGGGGAAAAAATCCTCTCTGTGCATTTAGTTTTATATTAGCTCACATGGTGATGATGCTTTGCTTTTACAACCAAGGGCTTCTTTACAAATAAAAGTGTCCGGTTCCACAAATAATTGCTAGTGGAAAAAGCCTTGGAACCGTACCGAGCCGAGTCGAACCGTGCCAAAGAGGTGCTATGAAGAGTCTCTCCTGGTTGGACGTTGCTGTGGAGTTCTACCTCTTATCTTGGTTGGATGAAAGAACACAAACACACTTGCAGGCTGCACTAGTAAACATCGAGCAATAAAACAGCAGTTCCACATGCATGCAGGCTGCGGCACCAGACACTCCACGGCTCAGAACGGCTCAAAACTTTAAAAAATTTGTTAAAAATGTGGATGTTTTAAGTTTAAGAGTTAACATTTTAAAAAGTCATTTTTAATTTGATATTTGTCTTTCATGGTGAAACAGCTTTTAAATATTTAGTTTACTTTGGAAAATATATAAAAAATACAATATTTTAAAGCTGTCCATCTTCCCCTTATTGTTGTAACTGGTTGTTGTAAAGGATCTTCTGAGCGTTAAAATAAATCCTCTTAATTTCAATCATTTAAAAACTCGTGCGCTGTAGTAAAGTTTTCAGATTTCAGCATCTCGTTGTTTCTCTTCTGAATCATTCCAACTGAAGGTTTGATGTTTGCCTACTGTAGGTTAAGTTGTTACATTTAGCTCAAGTTTTAAAGTTTTAACAACAAAATGATTGACTTGATAAACTAATATTTATATGAACATTACCTTCATCTAATGCACCTGAGAGACTGAAGGCTGCGCTGCTTTAAACTGGAGTTAAGGCAAAACGTCCAAAACATAAAATAAACAATCTGCTCTTTGACAAAACAACTCCCTGAGAGACCTGAGACAGGACAGAGGGACGGAGGTGAGAGACCCTGAGACAGGAC